GGTTTGAGTTGTTTTACAGGAATAGGAGCAATCAAATAGTTTTTGTAAAGCTCTTGGTACAATTCTGTATAGCTCATGAGAATAGGATCAAATGTAGGCTTTTCATAATTTTAAAATTCTTGCACACCACTTATTAGGGTGGTTGGATGAATAAAGGGCCTAGGTGTGATAGATAAAAAGATCTGCAGCAGAAGCATGACTTACAATGGGATGATATATGGGATAAATCGATTGAGCGTAGTTTCTGAACTGCTACTTGTTGAGACTCACAGCTTGAGTCTTATTTTTTTTTTTTGGGCATTTTTTTAGCAGAGGATTCTCCCTCTTCTAGTTTACCATTTTTAATTGCATTCTCAATGATCTCACCCAAAATCACTACGTCAGCATAATTTTTAGTCACATTTCCTATCATTATCTCATAGTATAATGACTTTAAAGTGCTTACAAATAGCACTATTGTTTCTTTGTATGTTAGTGGTGGTTGTACTTGAACAGTGACATCCCGTCGTATTTAGGCATACTCTTTGAAAAACTCAGATACTTTTTTCTCCATAACTTGTAATGAAAGGCGATTATGAGCCATATCTATGATGTGGCAGTATTAGTTGATGAAAGATCAAGTCAAATCCATTTATGATTTTATGTAAGTCCTATCTAATTAAACATATCACCTTGCAGTAGACCTGATTAAACTATTTTGGAACACATGCATGAGCAGCTTCTCATTGCTAGCATGTACTGGCATCTTATGATAATACACTATGATATGTGTAAAAGGACATTTAAAGTACCGTCATACTTCTCAAATTCTGGCATTTTGAATTTTGGAAGGATTACAACATTTGGAATCAAACAAAGGTTGACAACATCCATAGAGCCATAGATATCAATGCCTTCAATAGCCTGCAATCTTTCCTCAATCATGCTCATGGTTTGATCATTCTTAGAGTCTTTCAAAAGTACAATCATTTGCAACTTCACTTCTTCTTTTGTCTCATCCAGTTTGAAGATTTGAATGGGTTCTACTACATTTTTAGTGAAGATAAGATTAATATAAATCTGAACATTCTCTTAACTGTAATTTGAAAACATGGTCTATTGTGGCTGAAAATTTAGAATAGTCTGGGTTTGATGTGGACCAGAACTTGAAAGATACAGTGACTTAGCATCTTCATATAAAGTGTCTTATTCTACTATTTTTCCTTTATTTATTTTTTCCAAAGCTTTGAAGATCTTACTTAACTTCCCCTTTATTATCTTTTGAGCATTTTCTTACCTTTCGAAACAACTTATATTATCTTGGTCCATCTTTTTGGCTCTAGCTCGAGTGTAATATTGGTGCTGAACTATCTTCGAACCTTGATTTCCATAATATGCAAATTTAGAATGATGTTTATGGAACCTTCAAATTATGCATAAGACTGAATGCAAAAACAAAATATATGAATGTAATAAGGAGAATTTACCACATAACAATTAATATAAAAAAAAATCTTTATTGAATTAAAAGTCATTTTTAACCAAATCCAACATTACATCCATGAAAAGTTTAAAACTATTGAAAAAAAAAAAAAAAAACCCATAACTCATCGATAATGCTTTATACTTCATTAAAGACATCTATCAATTTTTTACCATATGTTCCCACTAGTGGCACCCTTGCTTTCCATTTTCAATAATTTTGACCATGTCCTTGGCTTTGTAAACAACCACAATGATTCGGTCAAGCAAAGACTTCAACTGGTTATATTTCTTCACATATGCTTCTTTCATTTGCTCATATTCTTCAATCACAGCCCTCATTTACACTCTGATTTTCACCATGACTCCATTCAACATCTGGATGTGCTTTTGTACTTTAAAGAGCATTGCATCCCTTTTTTGTAGTTTTGCTTGCAATTGTTTATTTTCTTGTAAAAGTTGAGCCAATTCTTGATTAGTGGATGACCGTGTTGTATTAAGATCAATACATAAACTCTTTCATCCATCTTTTTCTTGTTTCAGTGTTTGGACTTCTTTTTTTAGCTTTTTGTTTGCAAGCTTCAACTCTTCAGACTCTTTTTTTAGGTCAGTAGAAGACTTTGCTAGGATTTCCATGGATATAACTGAGATTTTTCTTGTTAAAATTATTTCATAGCAAATATTGCTTATGATAAATCTAATTATGTGAATGCATGATAAAAGAAAAAGATTACTAGGCACAAAAATATATATAAATACAAAGACCAATACAGGATTAGTAAAAAAAAATACAAAAAGGACAATGCATAAAGTTACAAGCAAAATAACCATCCAATCATGTGTCTTATTTAGGGTTTTCTAACACAAAAGGAAGGCATGACTTTACCTATGGTTGGGCTTTTAAAGTTAACTATATGAGGTGTGGATTACTTCTAAAAGGTCATACATCATTTCTTACATCATTGTCTATTACAGACTAGTAAGGCAACTTGATCCTCGCCCATCATAGGCTACAAGTGAAAATGATTCAATATGAGTGGGAGTGTTTCATAGGCCCATTCAAAGACATGAAATCTCACGATGGCATAGTTACTTCACTCCCTTTTAAGGGTAGAGCTCGGGTGTAGAGCGTTATGTTATGCATATGCAAATGAATAACAGATATATACAATAAATAAATGAATAACTAAGCAAATATAAGCAATAAAAAGAAATAAATAGGGAAGAGAAAAAATAATCTCAAATTTATTAAGCAAGGCTTGGATAATAAGAAATCATTTACTAGTCTGATTCTCGATTTTCCTAGCGAAGTCATCAAACTATCATAACATATAAATTCGTGGACCTACCGCTAGACGTGAATTAAAGTAGTTGCTATCAATCTTTTTTGTTTAGGTGTGATTGGCTACCTAAATGAATCTGATCCACGAAACTAGATTTTAGATTTGGGATACTATTACGTGTGAAGAAGGTTATATCACCCTCATAACGCCCATCAAAAGATGGTACTAATTTGATTTCAAATTATCCAAGCCTTGAACATGTTCATGATTTGCCAAAATATTTAATATTAAAAATTAGTCTTAAAATTGTCCTAATAGTTTGGTAACAATTTAAGATAATCCTATCACTTCAGGAGTATTCATGGAAACTAGTGTCCCACTCTGAAAAAGCTCCATCGTTAGATTTATTATAGCATTTTATTCAAGAAAATCAATAAAGTCTCCTTATAGTTTGGTAGGACTTACTTTGTGGTAGATCTCCTAATAGTTTGATGAGATTTTGTTGTAAAAGGATATTGTAAAAATTTTATTTTTCCTTTTTTTTTTTGGGTAAGACTTAATTTAAAAAGCAATCATCCAATCATTTGGAGGATAAAATTATTTTTTTATTTTTTTTTAAATTCATTTATGAAATTTCTCAATAATTTGGTATATTCCATAAAATTTGAATCCATGAAAATTCTCCAATAATTTAGTAGCATTCTTGAATTTATTAGAAAAGATTTTTTTATTTTTTATTTTTATTATTTTACTATTATTTTTTTCTTGTTGTTTTTTGGAAGAAAGAAAATTTTGTAGGAAATGTTTAACAATAAATTAATCAAGAAAATTCAGTAAAATAAATAAAAATGAAAATTCAGAATATAAACTAAAATAAAAAATAAAATAAAAAAACCTATTGAAACGGTCAAGTCAAACACGTGCATATCAGTTAGGTTGTGCACATCTTATTTTAGTAAAATCCATGTTTTGGGATCTATAACCAATGTTCTACGTTTTCATCAATTTGTCATTGCTAGTCTCTTTTTTATTTAATACGAAAACGTTCTATACCTTCTCTAGAAAAATGTTTTATACGAAAAATGGAAATAATATTGTTCTGAAAACATGGTTGGAATCTGACCAAAAAATCTAAAGTTCACTGAAAAATTTAATCAAAAAATTCAAATATTTATCCTAAAAACCCAATTTTCCAGAAAAATTCCAGAAATTCCTAGATTTCTCCATATTACTTTAGAAACCCTCCAGAAATGTAAACCTAATCCCAAAAACCCAAATCTAAACCGAGAGACTTCAAATTGAACCCAAAATTCCCAAAAGTCAAAATCCCAAAAATTGCTTACTGCCTAGAAAATTTTTCAGAACACCAAGTTCACTCCCTCTCCAAAAGTCAACTATATCTGTTTCTTTTATTCATTGTTCAATTTATAGCTATCCTTAGTATAGATTTTAAGAATTGAACAAAACCAATTCAAGCTTAAATCATGAGATTGGATTTGCCGAACCTTGATTTTAAGCTTAAACCCTTGCTGATTTGTCTGGGTTGATTACAAAATCCTTTGATTTGGTTGTGAATTAAGACCCTTTGACCTGACAAATTGAATCAATTCCAAATTTCTGTTTCTTTATTCAATCGATAGTTATGAAGAAAGGAAAGAAAATAAATAAATAATAATATAATAATAATACCAATAGACTATAATATAATATATTGTACTATATACTATATTATGATAATAATAATAATAATAATAATAATAATAATAATAATAATAATAATATAATACAATATAATAATATAATATAATATAATATATCATACTATAGTAATGCAATACTAACGAAGATAATAACAATAATAAAAGTTGACTCGATTGACCCCAAATACATATGGGTGTCCACATGAATAATGGCATTACCATTACATTTAAGTTAAAAAATTATAGTAGTAGTGACGACAGTACTATTTCTTTAATTATTTATTATCTGCTTAGCTACCAAGCTCAATCCGAAGCTGCCAAGTTCAACGATTGGAACCTCTCCAGCCTTTTCCTCTTTCATTCATGAAAACCAGTTCAAACGGAAACCATTTGCAATATTTTATTTATTAATTATTTTATTGTGGCGTTTGACAAAGGTTAAAAAAATTTTAAGTCCATTTTATGATGATTAGAAGGTAAAAACAAAATCTATATAAAGGGTGTGAAGAGGTTGCATAAGAGCATAACCAAAACCAACTTTGTAGTAAAGTTGGGAAAATGGGGTCGGCCTCTCTCTTTCTTACTCTTCTAGTGCTCGCAGTGTTTCTCAGCTTGCCTTCTCAAACCACTGCCGACTACCCTTACTCGTCTCCTCCTCCACCTCCTAAGTACTACTACAAGTCACCACCTCCACCGGTGCATTATCCTCCACCACCTTACAAGTACAAGTCTCCTTCTCCTCCTAAGGAGGAGCCATACAAATACAAGTCTCCTCCTCCTCCTCCAAAGGAGGAGCCATACAAATACATGTCTCCTCCTCCTCCTAAGGAGGAGCCATACAAATACAAGTCTCCCCCACCACCTTCTCCAGTTTACAAATACAAGTCCCCTCCTCCTCCTAAGGAGGAGCCATACAAATTCAAGTCTCCTCCTCCCCCTAAGGAGGAGCCATACAAATACAAGTCTCCCCCGCCCCCTCCTCCAGTTTACAAATACAAGTCTCCTCCTCCTCCTAAGGAGGAGCCATACAAATACAAGCCTCTTCCTCCTCCTAAGGAGGAGCCATACAAATACAAGTCTCCCCCACCCCTCCTCCAATTTACAAATACAAGTCCCCTCCTCCTCCTAAGGAGGAGGAGCCATACAAATACAAGTCTCCCCCACCACCACCACCCCATTATGTCTACTCATCACCCCCTCCTCCTCACCACTACTAAGCTACGGTTTTAACAGTACCAAGGTAATATTTACTTCTTTAGTTTTTTATTTTTAGTACGTAACACCATTATTCATAAATATTTTTTGCATTCAAGCTGCATTATGTCACATTTCCTTTTTTGAATTTTATCAGTTTAATGAAAAGCTCAATGGGTTATTGCAGGAGAAGAGAAAAGTGTGATCCAAATTAAGGGACAAAAATTGGTTTGAAGAAATAAACAGAGCGAGAGAGATTGAGCAGAAAGGGAGCCTAGTCCCCGCGTTCGAAGAAAAGATAAAGAATAATGTAGACAAGTATTATTCATGTATTTGACAGTTGTATTATTCAGTGGTGTCCATTACTTATTTATTTCTGCTTTATTATAAAATGAATCGTTTATGTATTGTATGTGTTTTTCAACCTGTTGCTCATGCATGGGTTGACCCCTAATAAAAATAAATCCATTCTCTTCAAAAACCAATGGTTCACGTTTTTTTTTTTTAATTCTTTTGTTTCTTTCATCTTTGGCTTTGACTGTGATTGGATTGAAAAGACTCACCTTTTCTTTTGGTAAATAATCCATTTTTTTTTTTGCATGAATTAGCATGGGCTTCTCAATTTCTTGCAATTGGGTAGAATAAGTACCTTACCAAAAAAAAAAAAAAAAGAGAAAATATAGAAAAATATTATATTATTGACTATAAGGGAAAGGAAAATTTATTACCTCCAAAATCGTCAAACAAAGCATTAATGCATGTACTTGTGTTGGAGGATTTGTCAAGTATAATCTCAAAGTTAAACGAGAAAAGCATAGTTGGCTTTGTTTAATATTCTATTTGGAAATTATTTTAATTGCAAAGGGCACCTTCTATTTCTGTTAGCATGGATGCCAAATAGAGTTTAAGTTGCCTTTGGTTTGGCTAGCTTTACCTACTTTCCCTGGACAGCAAATGTCCCAAATGGTAATTGGAAAGAGTATGTAAGGTAAAGGACTCGCAGTGATTAACCAACAATTATGTGACTTTTGAGCCTTTGACTATTTCTATAATTCACAAATCCCTCTTAATATTTTCACACATTCATTTCAGTAATTTTGTTCCGATAATAATTTTACAGATGCATTTATTTATAATTGAATTTCAAAGCTCATTTGCTTGAGATTAAATTTTATGAGTAAATTAACTGTACGAATCGTATTAAAGGAATATTTTTCACTGTCGTTGAATTGGTTTTGATGGCTTTGTCAAAAAAAAAAAAAAAAGGAAAATAATCTATTCAAACTAGGACTTTGAGTCTTCGACCATTTCCATACCTCAAAAACTTCACAAGTATGTTTTTTCTTTTAAGAAAATCTTATAAACGTATTACTTTTGGGAATCATATAATGTCATACTGCGGGATCCACATGATTAATAGAGTCTGGAAATCTTTATCGATGGGGGGCTCACACAATATTAAATTTTATCAGTAAAAGATATTTTTATAAATAAATTTTTAATACCATCAAAATATATCATATTTATACTAACATATTATTTAATCGTCGGTATAAATAAATTTTTTATGATAATATATAACTATCCGTCATTATAAATATGTTATATACTGACAATTATTAACGTAACCATTAGAATAGGCTCAAAACAAAAAAATTATTAGCTTACAAAAAATTGAATGGGATTATTGAAGGCGTTTTTTACCAAAAACGTCTTCAATAATCCATTTAAAAAATTTTAGAGAGAGATTATTGAAGACGTTTTCAGCTAAAACCATCTTCAATAATCCATACAAAATTTTTTTTGTATGGACTATTTATTGATGGTTAAATTTCGTCAGTAAAAGAGACTTTTACTGACGAATTTTTAATACTATCAGAATGTATTATACTTATACCAATACTTTTTTAACCGTCAGTATAAATAATTTTTTTTGATGGTATGTGACTATCCGTTAGTATAAATATATTATATACTGACGGTTATGTTAATAACCGTCAGTATAGACTCAAAACAAAAAAATTATTTGCTTACAAAAAATTGAATGGGATTATTGAAGGTATTTTTGGACAAAAATGCTTTCAATAATCCCCTCTAAAATTTTTTGTATGGATTGTTGAAGGCATTTTTAGTCAAAAACGCCTTCAATAATCCCCTAAAAAATTGAAAGAGATTATTGAAGGCATTTTTTACCAAAAATACCTTCAATAATCCTTCATAAAAATTTATTGAGGAGATTATTAAAAGCATTTTTGGCCAAAAATTACCTTCAATAATCTCTCATAAAAATTTAATAAGAGAATTATTGAAAGCTTTTTTTGCTAAAAACACCTTCAATAATCATTCATAAAAATTTATTGAGGGGATTATTGAAGGCGTTTTTAGTCAAAATATATTCAATAATCTCATGAAAAATTTTCGAAGAGATTATTAAAGGCGTTTTTGGCCAAAAATATCTTTAATAATCCTTCATAAAAATTTATGGAGGAGATTATTGAAGGCGTTTTTTGGCAAAAATTACCTTCAATAATCTTTTATAAAAATTAAATAAGGGAATTATTGAAGGCATTTTTTGTCAAAAATGCCTTCAATAATCCTTCATAAAAATTTATTGAGGGGATTATTGAATATGTTTTTAGTCCAAAATGCCTTCAATAATCTCCTAAAAAAATTTAAAAAAAATTATTAAAGACATTTTTGACCAAAAATACATTTAATAATCTCTCATAAAAATTTATAGAGGGGATTATTAAAGGCGTTTTTTGTCAAAAACACCTTCAATAATCCTCTGAATAAATTTGGAAAGGATTATTTAAGGCATTTTTAACAAAAAAATGCTTTCAATAATCCTTTAAAAATTTTTGAAAGGGATTATTGAAGTAATTTTTTGCCAAAAACACCTTCAATAATCCCTCATAAAAATTTATTGAAGGGATTATTGAAGGTAATTTTGGTCAAAAAAGCCTTCAATAATCCTTCATAAAAATTTATTGATAGGATTATTGAAGAGGTTTTTAGCCAAAAATGCCTTGAATAACCTTATTGAATTTTTTGTAAAGGATTATTCAAGGTATTTTTGGCTAAAAACGCCTTGAATAATCCAAAAAAAAATGGTGAGCTTATGAATTTAAATCATTTTCTTTACCTCCACCTCCCACCGACTCTACATACTTAATCTTCACCTCCCACCAACTCTTTACACCCGTCGGTACTTATAGCCTAATCTCCACCTCCCATCAACTCTTCACTACTCACTGACTCTACAAACTTAAACCCATCAGCATCCATCTTATTTTAAAACTGAATCAAAGTTGAAGTATCAAGACTTTCGTCATTTTTCAAAGGTATTTTTTATTTTCTATATTTTAATTTTATGTCATCGAATATGCTTTTTTTTATTTTATTTTTGGTTGTATTGGATGAATCTAGACTTAGTCTTTGTCACCTCAAAAATTAGAACAGGGCCTAAAAATGTTATTAGTGACTATTTTTGTTAATAAAATAACTTCAATAGGGAAAATGATGAAAACTTCATCTATTCTATTGTGGATTGGTGGCCTCTTGATAAATGTGACTATGAAACATGTAGCTAGAGAAGAGCTTTTCTTTTTAATCTGGTAAGTAGCTTATCCTTAGGCCTCTCGAGCAAAAACATTACAGAAAAAAATTCTTCTTTCTAAAATTTTAATACCTGCTTCGCTTTTACAAGAATTTCTTAAACAACAATATGGCTAATCAAGAAATAAATTGTGTGGCTCAGCATTGAAACAAGAGTTGTGGTAGATCAATATATATCTTATATGAACAATCTTCAAAACATTATTCAAAATATTTATAGAGGATTTGAGGTTCAACCATTAATAATAGCACTAGAAGGATTCTTTGATGCAAACTTCAAGCACCATGTTTGTAGATATTCAATCATAGATATTAATTTTTTTTTTTTTTGGATTTGGTACAATGATGTTAGTTCTTGATTATTTTAAATTTGTGGATTATAAAACAATTTGGTTGTTGTTTTATTTTAAATGTTATTAAATATTTTTACTTTTTGTGCATTTTTACTTTATATAAAACCATATCATATTATGATTATAAATAAATTAATATTAATAATTAAAAATATAATTAAAAAAAAGTTTTTACCGACGCCTTAAAATTTATACCGACGTATTTTACTATTAAAATATTTTAAGCTATAATGACAATCATCATAGACCGTCAATAAAAGTTAAAACACATAAGGTTATATTGATAGGCATTGACCGTTAGTAAAAGATATACTAACGAAGATATCGTCGGTATAAGTTAAAAAAAATTAAAACATACGAGTCTATTCTAACGAGAATTAACTGTCGGTATAAACAAAAAAAAAATTAAAACATACAAGTTTATACTAATGGGTGTTAACCGTCGGTAAAAGGTATAATGATAAAATATATAACAGATGCTATACCAATAGATATATATTTACTGACGATCTTAAACTTAGGTATATCTTTATAAGCTATTCAGACACTTTAAAAACCGTCAGAATGGGTTTATACCGATAAAAAATATACTAACGGTTAAAAATTCATCAAAATATATATTTTGATCGTTGGTATAGGACTTATGGTGCTATATTGACAAATTTTAAGGTTTTATAGATTCTTTTTTTAGTATAATTATATGTCAGATTTCTTGTAGTGACATTTGAATGAAATATTTTACCTTGTAATATATGTAATTGAAAATTATGTGAGAAGTTTGAATATTAGTCATGTGGACATGGATATTATTCACCTACTCATATTTGAAATATGAATTTTCTAAAAAATAAATAAAATATATTTTTTATTATAGACAAATTATATAGACAACAAGATGGAAGTTTATTGGAGATAAAATTTTGATAAAAGATGAGTAATTTTTTGAAAAAAAAAAAAAAAGTGGAAAACATGCATGTTACAATATGTTCAGGATTTTCCTTTTTTTCATTTTATGAGCTAAATAATAATTGAATTTTGTCAAGACTCAAGAGTTAAAAATTGAAAAATTAAAAATCCATTGCTACTACAAAATTTTTGTAGTATCTTCTTTCAATATATATACGTTGTAATTTTCTTTTATCAAAATGGATCTCAAAAATGATTGTTGAAAAGGTTTAAAAAAAATCCCCTTAAAGAGATCAAGATTCAATAGAAGGAAAAGGAAAAGAAAAAGGAAAATCCACTCCATTTTTTATGTAAATGTAAGCAAAATATTAAATATTTAAAAAAAAAAAAAAAAAACTCCAACACCAAATTAAAATAAAATAAAATAAAAACGGATCATGTTTTGATTGATGGGAATTTATTGTACGTAAATGGAGAATATGGAGAATGCCACTTGCAGGGCTTTATTATTATTATTATTATTATTATTATTTTGTTCTATATCAAGTCAACTTTTTCTGCGGAATCATTTGACTTGATTGTTGAGAATTCGGAGAGACAAGTAATTTTTCTTTGAAGAAGAAAAGGGGAGATTAAAATTACATATTTTTTTATAATCAATCTGAAATTTTGATCTTTAATAATTGTAAATGAAAAGAAAAGAAAGCTAACATATTATGACACATTTCAATTTCATAATCATATTCTTCTTCTATTGATGTAGATGTTTTGAAATGTAATGAAAATAAAATTATAGTGCTTTCAAATGAAGTTCGTACCAAAATTCAATTACAAATTAGTTAAAATTTCAAAATCAATGCTTATTATAATTTAACAGGCACTAAAGTAAAATTTTTTCACAATATTATGATTTAATATTTAATCTTATCTTCGCATTTCGATTTTATTAAATTTTATTGTGGCACTTTCAAATTTGTTGATAAATTTAACATAAGAATAATAAAATTAAAATATTTTATAAAATATTTTGCTAATGCAAATGATAAAATTTGTAATTGTACTTTCATAGAGGTAAAATTATAAAACAAAATTATTAACTTAAATTGAATGTATATTTGAAAGGATTAGATTTCCAGTAAAGAGAAATGTACAAATATCTTGATTTTCCTTCTCTTTTCTTATTATTTTCCTACTAAATAAAAAATAATTTTTTCTTTTAAAGATTTGTTACAAACAGTGCGGAATTATTCGACATTTTTCCGTCCCTTTTTTTTCTTTTTTTCTGAGGGATGGTGTCTGTCATTTTGTTTTGATCTCAAAATTCTGCACGAGGATGTATTCCCGACTCAAATAGAGGTGAATCTAGAAAGGATCACGTCCACAGCGTCAAGCTAATTTAAATCTTAATACTCATCCAACACTAATTTACCATAAAATCAATATAAAAATTGCAACTATAAAAATGAAGACCCAATGGGTCCCTAACAACTAAAACAAAAAAAAAATCATCCAATTAAATTAAATTTTTAATTCAACGATCATTATCAAACTTTAAGAAAATAGCAAATATAAAAACTAAAAATACCAATATAAAACCAAAAAAAAAAAAAAAAGCCCATCCAACATTCCAACCCCAATGACTATATTAATATAAAATTTACTCTTCTGTAAATAAAGGCCCATTTGGCTTATGACAACTAAGGACTAACAAATTTCACTCATATAAATGTCAAATAATATTACAGAAAATTATAAACTAAATCCAATATAATCAATAATAATTCACCAAACAAAATGTCAAATGCCAAATATACTTTGAGACAAAAAAGTTTAGCCAAGTGTATACCATCTACCTACAAAATGCCACTTGAATCAATTATAATATATAAATTATAAATATAAATATAATTCTTATTACTATAAAATTAAAAAAAAAAATCCCCAGAAGGGGTCATTGGTTGACATGTCAACAAAAAAAATTATAAGTTTTCTTTTTAATTTTATAGTTTTCCAATAAAAAATATTAAACTTATAGAATGTAAATAATGGTCACTTTTATCAATGTTACCATATCAAATATATTGTTACTATTCAAGTGTAAAATATACTGCTAATTATAGGATTTTAGAACTAAAAAAATGAATTCATAAGAAAAAGAAAAAGTTAGCAACAGCTAGCTTCACTAGTAATCCCTCCTTTTTTGATGATATATTTGTTTTTAGGCAAGTGTGTTGGTTTGGATAGTAGTCATGTTTCGAAGATTCCTTTTCATTATCTGTTTGGTAACCCTTACATGTCTGTTTGTCTGTCACTTACACCTTGGACGGTGGGAGTCATCAGCTGACTTCGCATATAAAAGCAAGCCCAACTGGCAAATACCAGTAATAGCCTCATTTCCTCTAAGTCATGCATTGCATGTCGGTTTTTTTTTTTTTTTTTTTTTTTTTTTTGCCCAGAGTCATAGCATGTTGTTAGGACATACAAATCAAACCCTCTAATTGTTCCTACCCCTAGATGTCGCATAATATATACAATTTTAATGAATGATGGATCTCACGTCTAGGCTATTTGTATCACTTTTAATTCATTTTAAACTAAGATATAATTTCAAGATTTACTACTTAAAAAAGATTTTTTAAAAGAGAATGACAGAGGCAGTGAGATTCTACATTTGCAAGATGTTTTGGTTGTTTTGTTGCATTTTTGTTTTTTAATTTCATTTTATTTATTGATTTTTTTTATATTTAAAATTGTTTAAGATTTGAATGATAATCATTTAAATTAAAAGTCTAATACTCCATTGCATAATTGTGACACAAGAGAAGAGTTCTAAAATAGGGAAAAATACCTGTATGAAAACTGCAGTCCACTTAACTTCTTTATTGATTCCAGACTTCAAAGAAAACTATTTAATATAAAATTATGAATGTTATTAAATGAATTTATAAATGGCAGAGAGCGACTTACTTCTAAGTCTTCTAATTTCAAACTTACTTCTTTCTTTCCCCATTTTTGTTTAATATTTATTTGTTAAATGGCTGAACTTGAATCTAAACTATGGCCAAAAGAGTTGTACAATTTTTTAAGCTTTCTTGAAATAATATCTATGAAATATGGACAAGAGATGAGAAAACTATGGCCAAAAGATGACATCGAAATAGTCCACTTGGTCTAATATTTTTCAATTACTACTAAATGGGTTATTATTTTCATTAAATAATTATAGAACTAACAAAAAATAAAACTACGTGAGTCAACGGTTTATATATTTATCTTAAGAGTTGGAATCGAATCTTCTGTCCCAAATAAAAGACAAAAAAAAAAAAAACTTGGTAATGAATGAAAGCTGAAACTAATGAATTCTAAAAACTATGGCTTATCCTATATTAACACGTCAGGTTCAATGTCAATGTGTGAGGATTTGTTTTCCTTCTTTATTATGGAATAATAATACAAATGAAGTTTGGGCTACCAGCTAATATATTTGTACAGAGGTTGGAATATTGTTTGTATTGCGGGTTTAGTTCATTATTACTTGTTTGTATCACGTGTTTAGTTCATTTGAGTTAAGTTTTGGATAGAAATTTTTGAATCCTATCCGAAAATTAAATTATTAATAAAAATATTTTAAATTTTAATTAAAAATATTAATATTTTAATATTTTAATAATTTTTAATATGTTGTTTTTTTAAAAAAAAAATTGCATTTCTTAGGCCCAGCAGATCCAGCAAAACACTCGGATAGGATCTTCAAAAGGATTTGACCCGGTCCTGCCCAACCAATGGACAAGCTCACCATCAAATTGACTTTAAATTAAGCTGTGCTTACAACCAGTATACTTGCTCTGGCCCAATTGCAGGAGTACTCCTTGAGATTCTCCAGCTAATTGTCAATTTTAGACAGGCAAAATGCCCATCGCATCAAGCATAAATAAACATTTCATTCTACTCTTTTTTATTGCTCCAGCTAATACTTCTTTGTTAATGATGATTTCAAAATTGTGACATGGCACATTTTGTATGTGACCATTGAATCCAGACAACATGGGTCCCCCAACTGGCGATAGGTTCGCCGTGACATTTTCATCCAAGTTATTGGCTTTAATTATTGTGTGGTTGATTGAGGTATCATTAGCCCCTACTACTGCAATGAAGGTTCTAATTTTGAAAGTTTTCTCCTCTCAGGATCCAAAACAATTGTTTATGAACAACCAACAAAAAAAAAAAAAAAACCCCATGTTGAATTGCCTATTGAGAAATCAAAGTCTTGTGTGTAGGAGAGTTTCCTGCCCTTTTCACGGAATCTTCTGCTTAGTTGTTTGAGCATAGCCTGAATGATGTTTTTCCTGTTCTCCCCAACAATAGGCGGCAACAAAATACTATCCGCCACAATTTCGCCCTTCTGTTTACCCAAATTCTTAGCTCTTGATTGTTTTGCCCTCCAACCCCATGTTTTCTCATTCACACAACCGTATAATACCAATACCAGTGTTTACCTTGCAAATTTGGTATCATATTTTCTCCAAGCATTTTCCTATTACACCGTAGTCAAGTGCTAGAAAACAAAAATTTACAAATCAGCATTTTCTTTGTCCCTTTCATACCTGTAGTATAAGCAATAGCCCTTTAGTGAAATTCCATTTCCCTCAATTCTATAATATAAGACCTCTATAACTATCTGATGAAAAGAAATCTTCAAATGTGTCAATCAAGCTACTTAGATAATCAAAATCTTCAGTTCCCATTCACTGCTTCTTCCTGCAACATACACTTAATTAGATGTAAGAAAATAACACTTCAAAATGAAAGACTCCATAAATAATTGTGAAAGTCGTACCTTAACTTCTTCAAAAAGTGTTTCAAGCTCAGCTGTTATCTCTGAGAAGGAAGGCCGCTTGTCAGGATCTGCTTCCCAACATCTCTGCATCAAGTCTAAGAGTTTTGGATGTGCATTCTCAGGAAGATCTGGACGCAGGCCCTGAAAAGAAATAACATAAGACATAAGAAAAGCTTTTGCCCCAGGTTAACAACCTTATTGAACAGTGGCTTGTAGACTTCCATGGAAAAGAACAACCAAAACAGCATTGCTATGCAATGTAGGTAACTGTCTTTCTTTTCAGCGCAATTCCTATGACTTTTGTGTTCTAATAGCACACTTAAACTTTAGATAATATCTTGCTACAGTTGACCACTTTTATGCATCGTTCCATTTCTAATTGGTATGCCAGAAAAGATGGAACAGTTACTTTTTGGACCACAGAGCCTCAATAGATTGGTAGCGTTCGTTTTCAAGTCACAACAGATTAAGCCTCAGAAGGTATAATACATTTCAGGCCAGATTGGATGCAGGAAATAACTTGAGATTTAATTGCAAAAGCAATCAAATATCTAACAAGCATTCCAACTGCACATATTCACTACTAAATGACGGGGAAGCCGCTTTATATCATGCTTGAAATTGAATGAACAAAATCCATAAACATTAGAAATACAATCACTTCCATGCAATGCATAATGCAATAATAAGATACAGTGGAAATAGAAATCTAAACGCAAAAAAAGATCTCAGATACTCAGAAACTCTTAAGTTTGGTACTAAACTATGATATAGTTGAGGTTATTATTTAACTCCATAAAGAGAAATGCAGACCTGTCTCACTCCCAAGGCAGCTTGCAATGGAGTCATGGTATCATACGGGACCTGCAGTACCAAGATAAAAAAATATTCAGAAGTAACTTCCAAATTTTTAAAATCCAATTGCTCATCAACTTTCTTCAATTTCAGGAAATACCTTGGCTGTCACTAGCTCCCACAATACAATAGCAAAGCTGAATACATCTGCTTTCTGATCATATGGCTGATGGTTTATGACCTTGTGGGAGCAAAGTAAAGTAAGGAATGGATAAAATACCAAAACAAGGAATGAAATAATGACAGTTAATGTACACAGCAAGTAAGCCAAAACCATGACACATGACCAGGATTATAACACATGAACAAACTATCGACACATGCAAGGAACAAAGTATCCAAACATTAAAACAAACTACAACACATGACCAGAATTATAACACATGAACTGAATCATTAAACCTGCAGCTCCTTGCAGAAAACACATGGAAGGAACAAAGTTGTAGGATACTTAAAGAACAATTGTCCTTATTTCTTCTTATTCAATCTACAATGAAGGAGTCTATCTAAATAAATGGGAACAATGAAGTTCCTTATTTGGAAACAGCTTGCATGAAACAGAAAACAAAAAATAATAAAAGAAAGAAGAATTATTCTATTCTAAAATAGAAACAAATCCCTAAAAACTGGACAATCAGAATAGTTGACTAAATCAGAAAAGTAAATGAGAAATATTCCCAAAATAAATTAGGAAATCAAGCTGCACTAATGTAGGAAAATCATATCTACACTAATGTAGGAGAATCAAATTTCTACACTCCCTTCCAAGTTGGGTTATGAAATGTTAATCATACTCGGCTTGGATTTCAATCGTCAAAAATGCTTCTAAGAAGAGATTTAGTTAGAATATCTGCAATTTGTGAACTTGTAGGAATATAGGCCAGTTTGACCGACCCATTTTCTATCTTTTCCTTTATGAAATGTCGGTCCAACTCGATGTGCTTAGTCCTATCATGATAAACAAGATTTTTGGCAATACTTATAGTAGCTTCATTGTCACAAAACAGTGTCATAGATGTCACAGTCTGAATTTTTAATTCTCCAATTAACCTCATTAGCCAAATTCCTTCACAAATACCATGGGACATCACTCTAAACTCAGCCTTAGCACTGCTCCTAGCTAAAACAGCTTGCTTTTTACTTCTCCAAGCGACCAAATTGCCCCAAACATAAGTGCAATATGCAATAGTGGACCTTCTATCTATTATTCATCCAACCCAGTCAACATCTGTGTACACCTGGACTGCCCTGTCCATTGACTTCTTAAAATATAGACTTTCACCACGACTCTTCTTTAAGTATTGTAGGATGCAATAAACAACTTTGAGATGCTTCTAGGTTGGATTATTCATGTATCTATTCACCATCCCTACTACAAACCCAATATCAAGTTATGTGTGGGAGAGGTAAATAAGCTTCCCGACTAGTCTTTGGTATTGCCCTTTGTCCGTGAGAGAGCTTTCATTTTCACTTCCAATTTTATTAGTTGAGTCCATGGGTGTATCGACAGATTTGCATCCAATCTTGCCGGTTTCTTTGAGTAGATCAAGTACATACTTAAGCTGAAACACTGATATTTCATTCTTAGACAAAGCCACTTCCATCCAAAGGAAATATTTAAGGAACACCAAGTCCTTCATTTCAAACTCCTTTGCAAGGAGTTTATTCAAATCATCTATTCCTTCCTTGTGGTCTCTAGTGATTATGATATCATCCACATAAACAATAAAAATAGCTCTTTTTACTTCATTAGTGAACTTAACAAACATAGTATGGTCATATTGACATTGAATGAATCCATACCTCTTCATTGCCTTGGTCAACCGTTCAAACCAAGACCAAGGAGACTATTTAAGTCCATACAACGATTTCTTGAGTTTGCACATTTTGCCCATGTTGTCTTGCCTTTCGATACTAAAGGGAATTTCCATGTAGACATCCTCCTCCAAGTCACCATTTAAGAATGCATTCTTGATATCAAGTTGGTTGAGAAGCCAATCCAAGTTGACTGCTAGTGACCAGGGATTTAAATCGCAGTCGCGGCTGTGTTTTCGGTCGCGTTGCGTTTATTGCGATTGTACACATAACGGATAAAATAACGGTATTCGCGCTCATCGCGATCATGAATTTTTTTAAAATTTTGAACAACTTATCATAAAATGAAATAAATAATAATTATAAACATGCTTATTATATTTAAAGTAATTTATAATATTTTAATTCTTTAATGTATATATTAAAATAAATATTTTATATTTTTTAGTTGAGCGATAAATCAATATACATATCTAAAATGTTGATCATTAATATATCCATGAATTTTGTCGATATAAATGCTATAAATGCATATGATTGATGACAAATTACCATTATGAAATTAATATTATAAATAAATCTAATTAAGAAGAATAATAATGAACATTTAAATATTTTTAAGTACAATTATTAAGGTAAATGGATTAAAATCTAATTCTATGGTAACACTTGTACATATCACCTCTCATTTTTTTTTCAAATTTTTCATCTAAAATTTAAAATCTTCAAAACATTCCCAAAAACTTATTTCCCATCATTATTGTTTTTGTTCTAAAACTTTTTATCTAAAAATATTAGGTATAAAAAAATTAATAATAAATATACTTAATAATATTAAATTTTTATTATAAAATTATTTTTTAGATAATTAAAAATTAAATTCACTATTTAACAACTAACAACTCTATTAAATTTTTATCCAAATCATAAAAAAAATTCAAATATCCATTTCTAAAAAAGTAAAAGAAAGAGATGCCCCAAATAAAAAATAAAACCAATTTATATCTGACATCAACCTCCTTCTTGTCTTTTCCTCTCTATTCACTTTGCTTCTCCATCACAAAACAATCACCCACGACCCTATCCAACCTCCCTCTTATCTTTCCCTCAAGCGATTTCAACTCTCTCCCTTCCATTGGATTGATTTGGGAGCTGTTAGCAATTCCTTTATGGAATCACACAGTTCTTAAGTTGTTGAACCCAAGGATCCCATAGGGCAGCGAAATGGGCTTGGCAGTTTGAAGGTTCATTCCCTTACTAGAGCTCTATCTCTATACTACCTCTATTTTGATTATTTTGATTGAGGCTTAAATTTGACTACATAGTTTGGACTTGGGGCATGTTTTCTTACTATCTTGGAATGTGTTTTCATTTTATTTGATGAAAGAAAAACATAAATAGCAGCTTTAACATCCCGTTACAATCGCATTTTTTTGTTATGCCATTATTTGCAGCCGCAGACAACTATTATAGGTGTGATTACCAATCACACCCCCATCGCGAGTGAATACCGAAAACGGTAGGCAACGTTACCGCCAAATAGCGACTATAATACCTCATTGTAGGTGCTATTTAAAACCTTGTTAGAGACAATAAAACTCTAATTGAATTGAGTTTGGCTACTAGAGCAAATGTCTGCTCATAGTCTATCTCATAAGATAGTGAACCCCTTTGCAACAACTCTAGCTTTGAACCTGTTTATACTTCCATCGACATTGTGCTTTGTTGTGAAGATCCACTTGCATCCAACCGGATTTTTCCCTTTGGGCAAATCTGAAATTTCCCATGTCCTATTTTTCTATAGTGCTTTGTTTTCTTCAAGAACTACTGCCTTCCAATTTGATTCATTGAGGGCTTCCTAAATATTTTTTGGAATTTGCACATTGTCAAGGTTAGAAGCAAAGGCTCAAAAGTTTGGATTTAACCTGTCATATGAGATGTACTTGCAAATAGAGTATTGGGTGCATGATCTCACACTTTTTCTTAATGCAATAGGAATGTCAAGGTCACCAACTGGCTCACAAGTTTCAGTTTCAAATTCAATAAGGACATTACCTATGTTAATTTCAGGTTTTTGGAGACACGGATCAGGTTGATTTTTAATGCTAGGCTATGTACAGTTGTCCACTTCTTCCTGTGGTTTTTGCTTCCTTGAGTAGACTATCAGTTCTTTTGTTTTTTCTTGCATAACCTTAGGGTTTGAAGAGTCAAGAGTTGTCTGAACAGGTTGGGTTTCGAAATCTGCATGGCTAATAGGTTGGGTAGGTTGAGAATCTAGTTTTGAAAGGGCTAGTTAGGACTCTGGTTGGGACTCTGCTTTTGAAGGGGTTGGTTGGGAAATTGGCAAGTCAACAACTAAGAACTGATATTCCAAAGAAGTATTCTCCCCCTGAATATCATTCTTGCTGTAGTACAGAAGATTCTCAAAAAAGGTGACATCCATAGAGTTATAGAATTTTTTTGCAATGGGTAAGTAACACCTATAGCCCTTTTGGTTTGGGGAATAACCAAGGAAGATGTATTTTAAGGCTTTGGCATCAACCTTGTTGCAGTTTTGTTGGCTAATATGAACAAAGGCAATGCAACCAAAGAGTTTGATGCGAACGGAAAAGATCAACCAAGTTTGTAGGTAAGAAGCAAGGAGAGTTTGACAAGGTGTTTTAAAGTCAAGAACTCGAGAAGGCATTCAGTTAACCAAATAAGTTGCAGTGAGGACAGCTTTTCCCTAAAAATATTTAGGCACATTGGAAGTCAATAAGAAGGATCTGGTCACTTCTATCAAATGTCTATTTTTGCGTTCGGTAACCCCATTTTGTTGTGGAATGTCAACGCAAGAGCTTTGATGGATAATGCCATGTTTGGTGAGGTAAGGGCCGAGAATAGAGTTGAAGTATTCCCTTCTATTGTCAATTTTGACGACTTAGATTTTGGCTTAGAATTGGGTTTGTAACATGCTATTGAAGTTTTGAAAGATTTGGCTAACTTCGGATTTTTCTTTCATAAGGAATACCCAAGCGAGTTGAGTATGATCATCAAATAATGTAACAAACCACCTAGAACCTGTAATATTGTTAACTCTTAATGCTCCCCAAATGTCACTATGAATCATTGAAAAAGACTGAGATGATTTATAGGAAAGGCTAGGGTAGGTATTTCGAGTGTGCTTGGAAAATTGATAAATTTCACATTGAAAATCTTTAGAGATGTTATTGAAAAATGAGGGAAATAGCCTTTTTAGGTATGAAATATTTGGATTTCCTAATCTATAATGCCATAACATGATAAGGTCATCCTTACTAGCACTAGAGGCCAAGGCTGTACAAGAGTTTTGTGGTCTTTCAAGTGCATCATCTTAAAGAAGGTAAAGCCCTACACACATCCTAGCACTGCCAATAATCTTCCCCGAGCCCAATTCCTGAAATTCACATAAGTTGGGAAAAAAATTTAGTGACACATCTATCACTCATAAGTTTACTGATAGAGAATAGATTACAGCTTAAATTAGGGACATAGAGGACAGAGTCGAGTGTTACGTCTTTCGAAACTACAATAGAACATGTTCCTGCCACCTTTGTGAGAGAGGCATCAGCAATTTTTATAGCAAAACTATCATAGCAAGGTCCGTATGTGTTGAATAAGGATGTATCTCCAGTCATGTGATCTGATGCTCATAAATCAACAATCCAAGATTGTGTATTTCCCCGTTGAACACTTAAAGCGTTTAGGAAATTACCTTTTTGTGCTAATAAACTAGTTTCAAAGGTTGCAGACTTGTTTTGAAGGGTTTGTTGGAGTATCACCTACCACATCTCTGCAGAAGAAAAGTTCTCACTCCTGCTAACAATAACAGAATCTCGTGTGGCTACAGTCTAATGGTTCAGGCCGACTTGCTGTGATACCATTTAAGAAACTTAAAGAACAATTGTCCTTATTTCGTCTTATTCAATCTACAATGAAAAAATACATCTAAATAAATAGACACGGTGAAGTTCTTTATTTGGAAACAACTTATATGAAACAAAAGACAAAAAAAATAAAAGAAAAAAGAATTATTCTATTCTAAAATAGAAACAAATCCCTAAAAACTTGATAATCAAAATAGTGGACTAAATCAGAAGAGTAAATGAGAAATATTCCCAAAATAAATTAGAAAATCAAGCTGCACTAATTTAGGAAAATCAGATCTACACTAATGTAAGAGAATTAGATTTCTACAAAAGTATCCAAATATTAGAATGTTTATAAAAGAACAGCAGATATAGGTAATTTCCACAAATGACTAAGTAAGTTTCCCATTAGAATCATCAAATGGATAACAAATTTTGAAGTAATTAAAAAAAAAAAGGAGGCAACCATAGCCCCACAGTCTATAGGGCAGGGAAAAGAAAAGAAAATAAAGATAAGAGATTCACACCTCAGGTGCCATCCATCTATATGTCCCAGTCTCAGCTGTCATTACTCCTCCTTGGTTCTGGAACCGAGCAACACCAAAATCTGCAACCTTAACAACCTTGAGAGAAAACATAAAGTTATCAATTTAAGAAAATATGAAATGTAGTGATATAAACAATTCTACAGATGCCAATATATTAACATGTGAAAACTTCACTGCTAGGAGTACATTGACAAAAATAGCACAACAGATGGATCAAGTCACTTGAAGCATGAAAGCAATTATTCTATTTCAGTATTAAAAATAGTTATAAGAAAATCTATAACATGCCCTCGGGACTTCTAGGAGGGTCTGGTCACATGTCAGCAACAATCCAGATACAGAATGCTAAAACACAACTTGTTATTTTTTATCTCTTCACTCTTCTTTGTGACTGAAGTCACTGCCTCATGGTTTAGCTAGCTTATTGCTTATTCACCCTGGCTTTCCTGCTCCTACAGAAGTGAGCTTCACATACAAGATCCCTTAATCAGAGTATCAAAGTAAAATTTTATTACAGAACAGCTGAATCCCGACAAGTTTTAAGTAATTGTGATTACTTCAGTTAATCTTGCAAACTCTCTATCACCATAAAAATACTTACAATATTAACCACCAAAACATGAGATGAATGTAAAATCAACAATACTTGCTTGATTCATGATAACTTCCATTTTAGGTATAGCGATGTATCTTGAACTATTCAAAAATTTCACACTCTAAATCAAATGTGACTCCTATTGTTCACATAAACATTACAACTCTAAAAGCAAGAGGTTTGCTTGAAACAGGCTGACATAATCAAAGTTCATATCACAAAGAATGTAAGAAATCATGCCAAACTCCAACTACATGAAACCAGTGAAGCCAAGCTACAACTTGCTACATATGATAACTCTAAACAGCAGTTGTGACTCCTATCGTTCACAAAAACATTACAACTCCAAAAGCAAGAGGTTTTCTTGAGACAGGCTGACATAATCAAAGTTCATATCACAAAGAATGTAAGAAAGCATGCCAAACTCCAACTACATGAAACCAGTGAAGCCAAGCTACAATTTGCTACTTATGATAACTCTAAACAGCAGCTACATCTTAACTCTAAACAGAAGCAACATCTTACAGTTAAAAATAGGATGCTCCCTCCACACGTGCTTGGTTTGCCTACTAGATAATTCTCAACAGATACTTTATGCTTATATTTTGATAGTTCAAAATCCGGACTGGCATAAACCAGTACTCCCCTCTGACAGTTTTTTTTTTTAATGATCCACATGCTGATTAGGGTGAAATCTATTTGAACCACAAAAGTCACAACCAACAAAAGATAATGTTAAAAATAAAGTGATTTTCACTAAAGATAAAGCCATCTTTCAGCTCAAACAACCTTTTAATAATTTTAAAAAGCTGTATAAGTATGCATGCACCCCAAGAGAGGGAAAAGAATGTAGATACCTAGAACCAAGGCAAAATAAATCTCAGTACATAGAAAGTATTAACATGATGAAAAAGTATTTACTGACGTATTACAAAAGATGCTTGAACTAATTTCCTAACAGAGGACCACCATGTAATCGATTTCATGCCCATAAATATCTAGCAAGGGTTAAAAGTAATTTAAGACATAATCCTCTGCTCTTCATCCAGATAAACATGGACTTTCAGTAGCATTCTATTCACTAACCCATAGCATGCAAATTCACATAATTAATATGCAAATTCCATGCAAATTCATGGAAGTTTTAGCCTTGTTAAGAAATTTTAAAAGGAAAAACCCAACTCTTCCAGATGTCAAGGATCTGGTTTACAACTTAATCTTCAGTCACATTGCCCAACACCTAGAACAATATAATAATTAGAAAATCTGATAAACGAATCCCTTGAGCATGCTTACATCAATGATAGTAAAAATTTCTTACACTGTCTGTATCCATTAGCAAATTTGCAGTCTTCAGGTCCCGATGAATTATGTGGTTTTGATGCAAATACTCCATTCCTTTGCAGACATCAATAGCAAACTTTAGCAGCTGAGAGAGTTTCAAGACATTATGATTCTTGTGCAAATAATCATACAGGCTTCCCCCGGGCATATATTCTGCAAACAATAATATGAGCTGCAAAATGAGAAATTTTATAAATATAGTTGGAAGTAAAAAGATTCCATAGTTGAAACAGCAATTGAGTGGTAGGTGCTCCAGGGATGGGGATCAGAAGCCCCCAATTGCATCAACCACATGAATTCTTTTAGTTGTGTTCCCAATTTAAGGCCACACTATGAAAGATGTTTAAACAACCCCAAAAAGAAAATGAAAGAACAAAGGTCAGCTAGGAAGATTTACTGATCAAAATATTATGATAAAGTGAAACTTTTCTCAACTGATGACTCAAAATGACAGATTAATAGGGATAATAGAACTGCAAAAAGAAGCCTAATTTAATTCCAAGAGAAATTTTTTAATTATTCAGAAGTTCCTTACCTGTTACTATGCACAAATGTGGAGACTTTGTACATGCACCAATAAAACCAACAACATTTTTATGCTGGACCTCTCTGCACTCAATAACCAAGAACAATGAGATTAATATACATATGATAGTTGTCCTACATAAATACAAATGCACTGAAGCACACCAACTATATCCTATATCAGAAATTAGTCAATAAGATAGTAGTCCTACGTAATACAAATGCACTGAAACACGCCAACTATATGCTATATCAGAAATTAGCCAGTACGTTATTGGTCTACAAAGAAAAAGCAAGGAAAAAGCTTATATTCATATATAATTTTTAATTTTATTTGCTAGTAGCACATATTTATCCTCAATAAAATTAAAACTAAATTTGACTGAAAGAGAAAGCTGCCTATTCTTTAGCGAGCACAAAAGAGAGAGAGAGAGAGAGAGAGAGAGAAAGATGTACATATAGGAATGCATTTTCATGAAATAGTTCCCAAGGGGGAAAGATGTTGTTACACATTCATTATTTAGTAAAGAAATGCTTGATGAGAATATTTTTCTTTAAAGGTAACTACAAAAATTTATAACCTAACGAGCAAGTACATAATTACTCCAAGGTAGAATCTAGACAAAGACAAAGCACTTCTGTGACTTGATAATAGAGTTTCAACCACTTTTTTTCACTCCTATAGCTTATTAATATTAAAGGGGATGTCAGACATAAGAGGCAAAATTCTATAGGAGAATGAACCTACACTGAGACACCTTTCAACATGGAAACATAAGTGTTTACAAGTTCAACTGTTCTTTCTTTTCATTACCTTTTTCTTTTGGGTAGGAGGGTAGGTGTAGAAGGCAAAGGGCAGAGGGGTTATTAAATAGAATACACTGGGAGCCAACGGCAGAACAATTAAAGACAGTTGCAAAGACAATGTGAACCACAACCTCTAAAGTAATAGTTAAAAGCTACTCACTGTAGAATTGCCACCTCTTGAGCAAACTCGTATTCCAGAGCATCATTCAAATGCTCAGATCTAAGAATCTTGACAGCAACGTCTTGCCCAAGGTAGATACCATGATACCTTCGGATGAAGATCAGAAGAAGGTTGAGCTACAAAAAGGAAAACAAAGAATAGAGTAGATCAGAAGTAGCAACTTCACAAGCACACAACTTACAGATCTCCACAAGATCCAGATGCAATTCTTTCTCCAATCTTCAGAAGTCTTCTATCGACCTCCCAATCTCCGGATTTTTCTTGTGTTGCTGATGCATCATCCATGGCTGAATTAGAATGCAAAGATCCAGACAATGACCCCTACATTTCCAGTGAAGCAAAACCTAAATTATCTTTTTGGCATTCATAACTTACTTAAAGAAGGGGGAAGTCATGCAAATAAAAAAAATGTTAAGAAACATAATATATGAGAGAGCTCAATCAGAATCCAACAGGAAGAAAACAGTAAATGCCGAAGAAAATAAATGCACTGTATACAAAGTATAGGGGTTAAGAACCAGGGTTACAATCCGCTCAATTAATCATGAGGTATAAATTTACATACAGATCAACTATCACATGCACGAATCTGATTGTGGCTACATCAAGAGCTTCATACAACTGAAAGGTGAAAAACTCTTCAATTGTTTGTTTATGAACCACTTGAACTTCCAAATAAAAGCAGACAGTACAAAATCTTTTCAAAAATTTTATGTAAAGTAATAATGACAAGCTTTATGATGTCCAAGCACATACTATTTACTATCTTCCTTGGGATTTAGTATAAATTTCCAACACTCACAATTAAACTATGAAAGAAGGTAAAAGGCCATAAATAGAATTCACATGGACAAAGTTTACCTTGCATCTAGTAACTGCTTTTTCCATAGCTTTATATAAACCATCTGTATCCTGGCCACAACATTGCAAAGTCAGCAACATTTGGACTCAGCAGAGATCCCTGGCATAAAAGAATATAATCGCAATGCTCCTTAATACATCACAAGGCTACTCTCCAGGGACAAACTGTATGTTCCTTAATTTAACCGGATGATAAATTTTAATATAAAAGAAGCAGCAACATGATAATTTTTTGAACTTTTGTGTTAATTGTCAAAGTCATATTACAGAATTAGAAACAAAAAGAAAACAAATAAAAGCCGCCCAAGGCGGGAATAAAAAGGACATCAGCACAGAGCCTCAGTATAAATATGATATAAGGGCCACTCATTTCCTTTCTCGGCATAGTGGCGAATCTGGAGTTACTTTTCCATGAAATAGATCTGATCAAATAAAACAATGGCTTAACAGAAAAAGCAAATGCTCAAGTATCAAAGCAAGATTTTTATTGCTTAAAATAATCCATGAACAAAAGAACAGAACTACCTCTAAAGAAACTACACCCTGACAATGGCAGAAGATACATTTTCTTCTTTAAAGCAAGATTCTTTATTAGCTAAACATCTAAAGGTTCACCAAACAATATGACAATACAAGGACGTAACAACAATAAAACATCTATGAAGTAATACCTCAACAGGCCATCCATCTACCACAAACACATCCAAAGAGTAGCCATCAGTTGTTGAGAACACGTGTGCTTCACGAATGTTAAGTCCTATATCTGAAAGCAAGGCAGAAAGCTAGAAGAAAATCACAGCTGGTCAGTATTTCAGATTTGACTAGATTGACAAGATAAATGATGATGTTGAAATCCCTACAAGCTGCTTAAATATAACTCCAATCTTTTTTTTTTTTTGGTTTCTTTAATACTTCCAAGAATTTATTCAATAACATAATTATCACATGTTTTGACATTGTTCACAAAAAGAGGAACTACTGCTCTACTGTTTTAAAGGAGAATTTAAACACCATAAACATATCTCGATAAAAATCATAACTGAATGACAAGACTTAACAACATTTGTCAGCCAATACCAAGAAAGCAGCTTAAGTAGGATGTAGTTATTAAAAGCCAAAAGATGATGACAGCAGGATTTCAAGAGCCTATCATATTAAGGAATTTTTAACAGCATATTAACATAAAAATAGGATAACAAACTGCAAAATTTCCATTAAATAATTGAACCCACAAAATAAGAAAGTAGTAAACAATTATCCATCATAAGCCAAATTTCAGATCTCAAAGAATACAAAGGATCAACTCCATGCTCAGCTTTATCATGGGTCGCTTGAAATCAACAGAAACTCAATTGGAAGACAATTTGAATAGAGAATGAACCATGTGCAAACTTTAATGCACAAGATATGGGATAACAGTAGAAAAATCAGTTATCCAACAAGGATCAGTAAAAATTAAGACCAGAGCTTTGACAAACATAAAGGGTACACTAGACATGCACCCTTCTGCTTCTCACTTTTTCACATAACACCTTACAGCTTTTTTCTTAATGGTTAAATCATGTTATCATAGGGGTATATCGTGTTAAGCATTAACCAAAAAAAGCCTTTTAATAATGAGGATATTTTATCCTTTGTTGAAAACATTAATGATGTAACCCTGTTATATTAGAAACCACAGGGTATTAAGTGCAAAGAGAAAAACCACAAGGTGTTAGCCCAAAAAATTGAAAATCACCGTGAGCATAAAGTGTAAATTTACTCTAAAACAAAAGTAATGCTCATCTCAACAATAAGAGAACACATGTTGTTGTCAAACATACCTGGCTAAGCAGTTTTGGACGGTCAGTGGTAGAAAATATCACTTCATGAATTGGAATATGTGCAATCTCTTGCCTGCATAACACTTACCAAAAGCCAACTCAGTTCCACACATATATAACAAATCCATGACTGGTATATTAAAGCTGCATTTATCAGCTTCATTCTAATATGCATTCTTTCTGCATGGGCAAGCGTATATTACAAAATATGTGGACATACATATACATAAACTGTTATACCTGCTTCAATTGTCAATGCAGGGTAGGAGAGAGAAAAAAAAAAAAGACAGAAGATGAGCATCTCCAGGAAAAACAAAATGCTTCCAAATGAACCTCTTGCAAAGTAATTATGCATAGTCAGAAAATCTTATAATCATCTAGATAGTTAGAAAGCCATTACTAAAGGTAAATACTTATGGACACTAAAACCCTTAAGACAAAAACTTCTTGGTAGAGTAAAGACCTGCGGCCAAGTTTGGTAATACCAATGACAACAATCTAACCTTTCATTGTGCAATGTATCAAGTCAATAGCCTAAAAAGGCAGGAAATATGAATGGAGAATTAGAGACATAAGTATTTTTATTATATCACTAGTAAGGAAATCCATTATATATATATATATATATATATATATATAAACCCGAAGAGAAAGCTAAAGTCGTACAGATCTTGGATAAATGTATTACCCCAGGTGAGAGAAAGAGAAAACAAATTCAGTTTCATAACTGGTGCAGGTACAGAGCTGAATGATAGAAGCACCAAAAAATAGCATATTTAGTATTTAATATTGGCAATGTTCCAATTTAGCCATTTGATTTCGGTTTGAAGTAGTTCTCAAAGAGGAAGAGCCAAATGCACACACCCCCACCCCCCCACTCATCCACACAAAAATACAGAGGTTCTCATCCCTGAGAGTACAAAAATCTCCTCATACATAGCCCAGTTAACAAATAGACAAAAAAACTGCTGAAGTTTCAAAGAAAGGGAAAAGAGGTCTAACAAATCTTCAACAAGGTACCTTGTTGAAAAGTTCTCCATGCCATACCTATCCTCTACAATCTTGGAATTCTTTCTGACATCCAAATTTAGGTCCTCAAGCTTAGAGCAAGGTTCAAAGTCAACTGGATGATCCCTGCTCCTACTTGCAGAAGGTAGTGGAGCAATAATTAACAAATTTATTAAGAAAACAAACAATTAAATCATTTAGGATCAAAAATGTTACTAAAGAAAAAATGATAAGAAAAAATCATTTAGGATCAAATACTCAAGAGAAAAAGGGACACAGAACTAAGAATGTTATACATATAATACCTTTTATGTGATGGCTCAACCTTTTCACTATCTCCATCATCAAAAGGCCTTTGGGCAGAAAAAGAATTTACACATTGTTGATCATCATTAGCATCTGCTTTGGTGCAAAGGTTCTACATGGCAACATGGAAAAGGGAGAAAACAAGTAGAATCATTAAAACAGGGCAAAAAAATCATGCACCAAGCAAAGAAAATATCAAGAATAATCTAGAAGTAATACCATAATGGTGCAAAAGTATAAAATGTTTAAGAACATATGATTCTTGAAGGTTTGTTATTATTATTTTGAAGCAGTGATTTGAATATACTATTGCAGTCTAGTTTATTCATATATTTTTACTTTCCAAAATCTACAAAACCACATAGATAACCAGCTTCTTCCTTATTCACTGTTAGCCAACAAATTTCTGTATGGAAAAAAAAACTCGCTCTGCAAAAGGAATAAGGATAAGATATACTATAATTACATTTGCAATAGCATAGATAAATTAAATTGAATATTTCAAAAAAAAAATTAATAAAATACCAAAAATATCATGGAGGTCTGAGATGTTGTTTAACCATAAGATATCATATTCTGTTTTTTAGAGTATAGCTGCTTCAAAGCATGTTAATTAGAATTTCAAACATGTATAAGCAAAACACACAAGTACACACACACACACCAAAATGCATGACTGTGCATTGTAAGCAGTTGTATAAGACCTATGAGCAGAGATATAAACCGGTAAGCCATGGAAAAGGAATAAGCACCATCAATTTTCCCTGCTTCACTACATAAGTTTATCTTCATTCACTTCAGCTATTATTGATATGCAAAAGTAGTAGAATTTCAATTATATAATAGCTCATATGATTACTCGTTATATCATCAGAATATTTTGAATATTTAGTAGGTTTTCAATCACAATGAGTTCTTGCAAATCCTTTGGAAACAAATCCATTCGACACAAGTCTTAAAGGTTCAACCCAACTTTACAATGAGAAATTGCCTCTTAATTTCCCATTTCCTTCAACAAAAAATTTTATGACTGCCAAATTCCCGATGTACAGCTTATTGACATGAGAACAGTATGCCCCTTATTCTTTTCATGACACAACATTCATTCTATGGCTCATTAATATAAATGACATTATCAACATTTATTTACACTATATGTAATCCATGCAAGGACATTATATAACAATACAGTAAAGAGGTATTGTACATATATATTATAAATGAAGAGCCATGGACCATGTATGTACTAATCAAAGTTAAAAGAAAAGGAACAAAATCATAAGCAATCAATATAAGATTTTTAAAGAAAATATGCAAAGGCTTTTTGTCATGCTATCTCAAAATTAGGGCACCCTAACAGAACTTATTTGCCAAGTAAAAATTTCTTCAAACCAATTTAAAAAAAAAAAAAACTATTTTTCCCTTTGTTAATGGATAAACAAATTTTGCAAAAATTGATGGAAAAAAAGTACTAATAATCTTTTTTTTTCACCTTGGGCAATAGGTTTCTACTTAACACAATTAATAATACTTGCCCAAACAAAACTAATAGTTTTAACATATGGATTTACTAATAAATAATACTCCTGAATAAGTAATTGTTTGTTCCACATGGGCATAAGCTAGGGGTCAATTGCACACCAAAAAATTTGAATTGGCAATACATTAAACACTAAAAGGCATTGTTCCCTCAGAAAAATCCAAATTCTTAGTAACACAAATCCATCATGTATAACCAATTGTCCAACACTTTGCTTCCTAGCACTATTTTTTTAATGGTTATGGATCAGTTAAGTATAAACAAAATTTTATATACATTTCTTGTAACATCATGTACATTTTTCAGAAAAATAATAAGCCTCACTAATCCTCCACTTTGGTTGAATTACGAACCGTATCACCAAAAGTCCATTTTTCAGCCTCTTCAGGTTAATTTGACCACAAACAGAGCTACATATGAACTAGTAGTTGAAATAAAAGAAGATATCTCCATTCTTTCCCTGTTCTGATAACCATGTATTGAATACAACAAAAAATTACAAATCCAATCGGTGTTCTTCTTAAACCCTAAACATTTGCTACTAAAAAAAAACCATAGTAGTAGTACCTCCAAGAAGCGGATATGATAAACCGGCCGCTTCTCCGGATCCTTTGCCGATGCAAGTAGTTTCTGATGTAACAAAACATCTTCCACTCTATCCATATTAACATCAAGTCCATAACTGAATCCAAAAACCAAACAACTTCATCTGCTTTAACCTACCCTACTCAAAAATGCCTAAATTCTTCATAAAAATAGGTATAAAACAGATATATACGTATAAATTATTCATATAAGAATTAAATTTTACCTCGCAGGCAAGCGACTGAAGTGAGAATCTAAGTGGCTGCGAAAGTCAGGGTTAGATATAGCTTCTTCGTGGCCGGTTTCAACTAAGCGATTGAAAACGTCGTTTCTGACATCGTAGTTGTTGAAACTGCCGAAGCTTCTCGGCGGCGATGAGCTCTCTCCAACTCCTTCTATCAAATCCATCGACAACGAAATCTACTTCTTCTTTCTCCTCTCTTTTTCTTCTTCTTTCTTTCTAATTACGCATCGCATGTGGGGAAAAATTGCTGTTGTTTCTCCTTTTGGTTGTTGATCAGAGTGAAGAGGATCTTTGACTGGTGATGGAATCTGAAAGGACAAAACTGGAAGGAGATGATGGGTATTTTGTGGCACTTTGGAGGGTAAATTTGGAAAGTGCAGCAGAGAAGAAACGGAGGAGAATGTTCAGGTAAGAGAAGAAAGAAAAGAGAGAGAATAGAAGAACGATAAAAATAAAAATAAAGGAAGAAAGAGAATAGAAGCGGATAGGGTTAGCAAATTTCTTGGATTAAAATATGTTAACTAAGTTACGGAAATACCCTTGGTAAGGACAGAGAATTACGGTGAGACAGATTCAACGGAATCACGGAAATGCCATTTGGTAAAAAAAAGTGAGAAAAAGAGAAGAATGCGAGACCGGTGGTGTTATTATTATTACATGGACTCACGCTACTCGCGCTTTTGGTTAGCAATGGAGAATACTAAGGTGACGGGCAATGGGAGAATTCGGTGCACGTGAAGAGCAATGAGACAACTGGTAGAATTCTTAAATTTCTCGATTTTAATCACGTTCTAGAAACAAAAGAGGACACTTGGCATGTTGGGAATGGGTGGGATCATTTGGTCATGCATTTGCAATAACGCGAGTACAAATTCCTTTTCTTTTTTTTTTTGCCAGAATTTCAATTTAATTACAATTACACAAATTAAATAGGAGACAAGGCTAAACAAAAAAAAAAAAAGTTAAGGTGGAATAAAAAAAAAAACAAGTCTAAGAATATGGAATTTATTTGAACATTATTAAGAATAAGAGTTAATTATATTTTTAACACTTAAATTTTTTAAAAAATTGAATAAAATGATAGTTAAAAAATAAAATGTATAATTTACACCTTAAATTTTTAAATAATATATCATTCTAATAAAAATTCTAATATTGTTAATTTAACTCATTTATATAATATATCTAACTAATATAATTTTATTATATGAATGTTATTTGTTAAATATCTTGTAAAAATATCATGTTGATATCACGTGATAAATAATAATTAACGGATCTTAGATCATTTTTACAATTCAAATAAAAAGTACTTTTTAGATCTTTTTATTGAAAAAGTATTGATAGTATGTAGTAAATATATAATTTAATAATATTTACCTAACACCACATATATAAGTTGATACAAATATTAGAATTAGATTTTGGGTTAATATAATATATAATTTAAAAATTTATGGTGTAAATTGTATTTTTTTTTTTTAATTTAGGGTGCAAAATTGTACATTTTATTTATTTAAGTATCAATTTATATATTTTTTAAAAATTCAATACCAAAAATGCAATAGCTTTAAAAATAATAAAACAAATGTTCATATTTTCCAAAAGAAAGGAAGAAATTTAAATCTACTTTTTGATATTGTTGAGTAGTCAATGTATTTTTTGTTGGAAAAAAAATCTATTTTTGAAATGTAATTTGATGTAATTTTTGGTATGATGAAAATATAACTTGTTGAAAGTTGAGTTAGAGAATGTGTGTTAGACTTGTTATAAAAAAATTACAGAGCATTGGGGGATAATATTTTGAGATACGTTATAATACTCAAATTAATTAAATTTTTAAAAAAAAAAGAATGAAATGAGGAAAAAAGTAAAAGAGAAAATAAAAAATGTTAAAAGTTCATATTTCATAACGATATGTTTTTACTTTAATTTTTTTTTTATATCTCATAAATAAATGATATGGTTAATTGAATAGATGATTATGTATTGAAATCAATGTTAATAATATGGCAACCATCATGACCATTAAAATATAGCATAACTTAAATCGGTTAATCGGTTTTTTTTATTTATAAATTAGTAAGTAAAATGCAATAGAGATTTTATGTTTTTTTGTATAATATTTTATTTTTTATATATGATCTTTAAAAATTTCAGTTTCAAATCAAGAAAAAGAGTTTTTTCTTGTTTGGCCAACAACAAAGGTGTTAGGCCAAAAAGTTTTAATCCAATCATGTCAGTAGAAGTAAAATTAAATAATCAATTAAACAAAAAAAATAATTTAATGTGGTTCGATCCAACTGACTTACTTTTATGAATGAGAAACAAGAGCCACTAATTGTAGAAAATTAAAAATATATATTAACCATTCAACAATCAATATTCATAGATCCTCTCATATTTTCTTTAGTCTTATGAAGTATTGTCAACCCAAATAAACATATATTTATATACACCAATATATCATACCTATATGGACCCTATCAATCTCCTCTAATCTACTCTCAAACATTTAAATATACACATCCATAAGACGCAAATCTTCAATACTTTTATAAAGTATCTATCCCACAAAACCTTACAACTTTCTTACATCTTTTTCTTACACCTAATCTTATAGAGACTTCACCTATTTATAACCATATAAACTTGCCTATTAAGAATATCTTTTCTTTTAGAACTCTTTTTTTACAAGCCATACACTATTAAAAATCTATTTACTTTTAAAATTCTTCTTCTGTAAGTCTTTTTATCTATCAAGTAATATATAATAAATCTCAAACAAATCTCTTATTAGATTTGAATCATTATTCCCAATAAAAGGAATAAATTATATTTTTATAGATAAATGATAAGATGTTAAATTACTATAAAAATAGTTTTCAAAATTTATTGATAGCATAAATTTTATGGATAATTGATAGTATAATAATAATAATAATTATTATAAATATTATTATTATTATATTATATTATATTATATTATTATTTTGTAATATTTTTTAAAACCTTTTTCTTTTTCTTTAATTTTAGCAAATTAAATTTGTTTATTCTTTTCTCTTTTTGAAATAAAATTTATTGATTCTTTATAGTTAACTTTTCTTGTGCACAAAATTTTTATTATTACTTGTGAGTGACATGTTAAGGGAAAAAATGCAAAGTCTGATGTTTTTATTATATAAAAATGATATAATTATATATAAAAAAAATTATAATGTAATTTCACAATTTATTGTTTGAATTATAAATATTCTTAGAATTGGAATTGCAACTTGCAGGTAAGTGGTAACTGATACATCATTATTCTAATAATAATGATTTCGACTCTCTTTCATGATATTTATTAATGAGGTAAAGCGATTCCATGGAATCCAATTTTTTGAAAGAAGAACAAATAATTTTTTTATAACAATCTTTTAGTTCCAATCAATTTTTATACCAGCAAACTGTGAATTAACTTTAAATAATTTTCAATTTAACCAACTAGTAGCATGAATTTGGCATAATATAAAAAGTTATAATAAGACTCCAGCTCTTGTATGGAATTTCCACAAATGATGAAAGGAATATATTAAAAGCAACATTCTTTATCCTTTCATTTTCTTTCTCCTTTCCTTTATTCCTTTTATTTTTTTTGCATTTGAGTTACTTGAAAAAAATAGGTTGTGGTCTTTGTTTTTTTTTTTTTTTTTTAACAATATTTTTTTTATATAAAAGAGATCATAGTGTTATTTGCTTCAGTCTTAAGCCTGCAACTGTGTGGTTTTAGGCCTCACATAGGGTGTGACACTAGTGTAGGGATAAAAAAGAATAAAAGTGTTCATATTTCAATTTTAACATTATTAATATACCTAACGATTTAATTTGATTAATTAATCTACTATTGATTTATTTTAAGTTGGTTATCGAAATAATTTTGAAAAAATTTTAGTGTCTGGTTAATTCGGTTTAAAAAATTAAATTAACAAAAATATAAAAAATTCAAATAAAAAATAAAAAATACATGAAATGGACCATTTCATTTTATAAGTTTTTATAGCTTTTAATTTAATATTTTGGTATTGGAATATTCAACTTTTAATTTAATATTTTCGTATTGGAATATTTTGTTGAATAATTTTATTTAATTTGTTTTAAATATGAGAAATCAGGAATTTAAAATATAATTTAATTTAAATATATTTTATTATTCGATTAATTTAAAAATAAATCTAATTAATCTAATTAAATTCATTCGATTAGATTTTTAAAATTAGTAAATTCGATTCGATTAATGAAAATAAAGTAACATGATCTAATTAATTTAATTTTAGATAATTTAATTTAAAATTAACTAAATTAACTAAATTAACACTCTGTATCGAAAGAATTATAAGTATTGAATTTTAAATTTAAACTTGTTGGATATCACATTCTAAAAATAATTGTATAAACCAATTAAATTAAGTATTGGATTTTTAAACAATAATATTTGCATCTAAGAGTAAAAACTCATCCTTGGTAGTTTTGCACTTTTGACTATTAATTATGATGGTTAGAAAAATGAAAGAGAGAATTATATCTCTTTTCTTTGTATTATCTTTGCAATTTGATAAGATTATGGATGTATTTGATACATAAAATTATGATAGGATAAGATAAGATGATATTATAAATAATATTAGATTAAATAATATCATTATATATTGTGTTTGATATGTACAAGAATTAGGATATGATAATTTATTTATTGATCAAAATTATCCTTAATTAAAATTTATATAATTTAAATTATTGACATAATTTTTAAGAGTATAATAGGACATGTAAGTGTAATCTTATGAATTAAAAATAATCTTTTTTCACTTGGAAATGATTGAAACATTCTATGCCAAAAGAATAATTAATCCTCTTTGTATAGGATGATTATCAAATATAATATAAGATAATTATTATCTTATTATATCTATAAATTAATTAATACAAATTAAATATGATATAAGATGATTATCATCATATTATATCTATTATCTTAAGAACTAAACATGACTTATACGTGTTACATAATTTTTTTTTTTTGTAAACTTTTCAACTCTACCTTCATTTGAAATTAAATCCACGACTTAAGCACCTTAGCTATTCAATAGTTAGAGTGGAAAATGTTAGTACAATAGTAAAAACACACCAAGCTTCATCCAAATCCGATGATCTTAGCATCCCATAATAATGAAAAGAAGTGCAAAATATGTTTCATCAGTGACATAAAAAATATGATGCAAGCAATGTTGACAATCATATTTATTAACCAAAATATTGACATGTTGGTGTCTCATCTTACTTGTTATAAATCACTTTGATTCTCAAAGAGTTTCATTGCAAGTACTGTCACTTTGAATAGAGAAGAAAGCATTAGAGCAAATAAAAAGGAGAAAAAGGAAACAAAGGTTTTGTTTTGTTTGAGAAAATATTTTCTATTTTTATTTTTTTCTAGAAAATGGTTTTTATTTTCAATTTTTTATTTTTTAAAAAATATATTTGATAAGTGAAAATAAAAATTGTTTTCTAAAAATATAAAAATAAATAAATAAATAAAATATTAAATGATATTATTATTATTATTATCATCTAATTATAAATATAATATATATTTATTAATTAATGACATTAAAAAGTGTTCAAATATGATAACTTGCAAAACATAAATAAAAAAGTACTGTACATCTTTTATTTTCATAATTGCAAACTTTTTTTTTTTGTTTTCATATATCAATCCATTTTCATTTTTGTTTTCTAAAAATTTGTTTTTATTTTCAATTACCAAACACATTTTTACTCATGATTTTCATTTTCTAAAAAAATAAAAACAAAAAATGACTCTATTTTATAAAATCAAACACTACCTAAAGTTGCATTATTTACTTTTAATCACACAATTTAAAAAGAAAAATACTAAAAAATTAGATAAATGTTAGTATGAATGTTTGGATAAATAACAATAATTTATGGTCTATAAATTATTCATTTATTTATGCAAGTGTCATTGTTTTCTATTTTTCTTATTTTTAATAGAAAAATTAAATCATTTAACACGTCATTTTGAAAGGATATATAAGAGTATGAATTTTAAATTCATAAATACCTATTGGTATTTTAAAATAGCACTAAATATGGATCTAATAAATTTAAAAATAAACATGAAAGTCCTATTCACTTGGGCTTTATTACACAATTTATATTAAATTTAAAATCCAAATTTAAGTTACCAAACACAACTTAAGTGAATTATAAAATCCCTACAAGGACTCCATGAAACTACATTTCCCTATCATTGTTTCATTTATTTATTTTTTATATTTGTGATAGGGATTCAAATTTAACTTTTTGATAAAAAAATACATTAATTATTGAGCTAAATGTTTGCCGCACTCTTATTGTTTTAAAATTTAAATTTTAGTTTTCTTTAAAAATAGAAATACAGGAATTGCCATTTTTTTTTTTTTTGCCAAATGGGAATTGCTCTTATAATGTTTTCTATTGGATTAAATTTTTGCTAAAAAATAAAGAAAACATGTGTCATGGGCAAGGGCATGGCCAGCTCAAGGCGGTGCCCAAGATTCAAAAGACTATTTTCTCAGTTTGGGAATGGCTCCAAACCATGCTTGTCCAGTAGAATTTGAGCAAATTTTGGTAGAATATGGTGCACCTTTGTTGGATAAGATATTTACAAATCCAGATACAAAGTTGGGACCAAGACCGGACTCACCAACTTGCAGTAAGAATACTTCAGATTAAGGGTGTAAATAATATATTAGTACATATAAATTATTCGGGTTCAATTCGAATAAAATTTAAATTCAGTTTGATTATTATCGAGTTGAATTTGAGCTCGAGTAGCTTGATTTATCGATCAAATCAAATTCGAATATTTTTATATCCAATTCGAGTAACTCGCGAGTTTAATCAAATTTTTATATTTAAATATATTTTTATTATTTTTAATAAATAAAATATCTCGAATTCGAACTCGAGTTCAAGCACAAATAATCGAGTTTTTATCAAATATAAAAATCGAACTTATTTTTATATATTAATCGAGCTTAATCGAACGAATTTTTGTAGTTCGATTTCTATCTCGAGTGAAGTTCAAGCAAAAAAAATAAAATTCGATCGAGTTCGAGTTTCGAATCTCGAATTTTGAATTGAATTTGAATTCGAATTTAATACTATATCGATTCGAACTCGATCGATTACACTCCAAATACATATAAAAATGTTGCATATGCGGGTGCATTTATACTACCACAACATAAATTGATAATATAATATGAAAATAATATAAAAATATAAAAAATATATTTTATTTTTTATATTAATATAAATTATAATAAATAATTTTTATACAAAATAAATTATAAATATATAAATTATAAATATTTTATATTATATAAATATATAAATTATCAAATTTATTTAGATCAAAAGAAATCAATTGGCTAAAACCTATCAACAGACAATCCTATGTTAGGATTTATTGATTTGGAACAAGTTTTGGTATTTCAAAGAAAATAATAGTACTAATTATTTTCTTTGAAATACCAAAACTAACTTTAAATATCAGCAAAAATATTAGAAGATGTGATGCGTTATTGGTGGTGCAGGCCACACATGCAATTATACAAGACAAGGGCAATTTAGGGAAATAAAAAGTTTACACTCCAGAGTCGACTGGGACAACGCGTCGGCTCCTTCAAAATGCAACATGGTCTGTTTAGGCTGCTATCCCTCCCAATGTCTGACCAAGTCTCCTAGCATTTCAATCCCGTGATTTCCTGTTTCGCGTTGCAGTCTCCATAGACGAAAATGGAGGATTCTCCGATCAATCGTCTCCCCGAAGACACACTTCACCAGATCTTCTCTTGCCTCTCGCTTCGTCAAATCATGATCTGCCGCTCCGTTTGCAAGCTCTTTAATCATATCTTGACCTCCTCGTCTTTCATGCACCTCATCTCCACGCGATCCCATCTCAACCTCCTTGCTCTCCGTCCACCTCATCACCATCACCATCACCATCACCACCACCATAATCACAGCCGTCACGTGTCACTTTATACCTCCCTCCACGTGTACGACCCAGATCAAAATCAATGGCTTCGGTTCAACCTCGATTTTCTTCCCTTCCGATCTCCTCAACCTGTTGCGTCTTCACTCGGTCTGATTTACCTCTGGGCCGACTCACCTGACTCGCCTGATTCGAACAAGTCACTCATCGTTTGTAACCCCTTGACTCGCCAATATAGGGTCCTCCCTCAACTCGGCTCGGCCTGGTCACGCCATGGCTGGGTCCTTGTTGACTCCAGGAGCCGAGTCATGGTCTTAACAGAACTCGCCACTCTTTACTTCTCCTTTTCTCAAAAAGCCCAGCAATGGCTCAAATTCTCTTCGAATTTACCTTCAAAACCCCGAAGCCCCATCGTCGTTTCCAACTCCGTTTTCGCTCTATGTGACGTCGGATCGCCGTGGAGAAGTAAGTGGCAATTATTCTCTTGCGCTATCAAAAACATGTTAAATTTAAATGTGATGAACAATAATTGGGAATGTTTGGAAAGGCACGAATGGGGGGACATTTTCGATATCATGAAACGACCGCGTTTAATACGCGGGAACGGGAACAAGATCTTGATGATTGGGGGATTAAAATCGAGTTATTTGTTGAATCAATCTTGTTTGACGATTTTGATATTGAGGTTGGATTTGGAAACGATGGAGTGGGAAGAGGCAACAAGGATGCCGGAGGAGATGCACCGGTGGTTTCAGGATAGTAAGTTTAAGGTGTTTGGAGGAGGGGATAGGGTTTGCTTTTCGGGAAAGAAAGTTGGGAGGTTGGCTCTCTGGGATTGCTGTGAATGGCGGTGGATTGATGGGGTGCCCGGAAATGGGGATGAGCTTTTTCGGGGCTTTATTTTTGAGGCTAGGCTTACCGCTGTTCCTTAACCCTGTGCTCGGTATGTCCTTTCATTGTTTAGTAATATGAAACATTGTTGTATTGCGTTTATGTTCTTTTTAGTGAAATGCATGATTCAGGATAGTTCCATAACATTGTAGTCTGTTGTCTAGAATGAAAAGTGAGAATTGTGTAAGATTTGTTCTCATGTGATGTAACTTGTTACTGATAATTAAAAAAAAAAGAAGAAGAAGGAATGTTAGTTTTTCTGTTCATTTGTAACCATGGAGTGTTTTTTCTCTTTGGGGGGGGGGGTGTTGAACTTTTTAAGTTAATGGAAGAAGTGCATGTTACAGGATCATTATATGCTGCGTTGTCAATGTTAATGCTTTACTTCGTCATTTACTAAATCTTTACTTTGGATATTGTAATTGCTAAGAATAATATTATGGTGTTTATTCGAATGTTATTTGTGATTTATGGTAATTTGGGAATCAAAAGTATGAACTCATAGTTTCAATTGAATCCATAGTCTTTTCAAGTCATTTAATATAATCAAAGGCCCCAGATGGCAGAGCACTGAAATTAATTCAAACGGTGCTTTAGACATTTATTTTGGTTGGGGGGGGGGGGGCGGAGGGTGAATTTTTAATCGAAAATTAAAATAGGTAATACTATTACATATGAAAGTGAAGATCCAAACAATTCTGAAATGCAATTGCGTGTTTAGGTATGAATTGCTGCTTAACATAGATATTAGTAATAATACCTTCAAAGTCACTCTTAGCAACAAATTCAATTCGACATGCAAATCATATACAAGAGAGAGGAAAAAGAGAAGGGATAAGATATTAGTTCATATGATTTGGCCATCTTGTTTCTATTGTTTTAGTCCACTTGTATTGTTTTTCGCCTTCCACTGTAGTAGTAAATATTCATAGCAGATAAAATAATAGCAAGCAGAAGGCCAATTCCTCAAGCCAAATGTGTGCCTGAATAGGAAACTGTAAGCTTTAGCAGAACAAAGCTAATCTTACCATTATGCTAAAACTTGCACAAGGAAGATCTTACATAGCCATGCATCAGCCATGCTTCAAGATGCACTTTAAGAAAATCTTCAAGAACACTTGTTGGGAGGGGGAGCATGAATAATTTCTGGGATTCTTCTGGAGCCTTTATCCTGTGAATGTGTTGTGCAGAAGATCATTATGAAGTTATTTAAATATGACAGGCAGCCAGCATTGACTTTTAATTTAGATGGTCATCTGATAACTTGCAAAATCTTGAATTTGATTTATCAGCATTGGTGACTTCCTGAACTTTAGGCATAAGAAGACTCCCCCTTGTGTTTACGAGAAGACGAATGGTTAGAACATACTGATAAGGTTGAGCTGTTTGAAATAATGTCGACCTAATAATCAACATGAAATGAAGATAAAGAAATAGTAGTTGGAAAGAAAGTGGACAAGGACACACAATAGTCGGAATTAAGCGCATGATCTAGCAGAATGTTGCTAGTTACTTGCATATGAGCATGTGTTAGGCTCAGGAAGTTGGTACATGGCCCAAAATTTCAGCAAGCTTGGGAGTTTCTTTGTATTTAAGCATGCATCTTTTTTGAAATTTCTGTCAGGTACTTTCTAACTCAGTGCTGCTCTTGTCATTAGTGTAAATGCTTCCACATGTTTGAGTGTCTTTAGAAACTATAAATAGCTATATAGTAGTATAAAATATGGACATGCCTTTCTTTTGCGAAGGAAGTTAGATAATTCACAACTTGATTATTGATTTTCTGTGTGACATTTAAGCATGTGAAGACCTGATGGACGATGGTCATTTTGAGAGATCTAACTTATTAATTTCTTTAGGAGCTTTTCATGACAAGATAGATCTTTAAAGTGCCAATGAATTCCTTTCTTGGTTAGGAGATTCTTCATTGAAGTTTATTTCCGTTACTACCCAAACACCTGATTTTTGGTAATCTTTGTTCTTGAAATTAAGGTGTTAGGCATTGTTTTCTCCTGTCGTATGTATGTTTACAAATCATAGCATACTAGAAACAAAACCCCGTGTTGCCGCAAGTTAAATTTTTTTATTTTATTATCTCTATTTATTTATGTTTTTAATAATTATCTAATTAAAAATAAAAATAAAAATAAAAGGTAAAAAAATAAATAGGAATGACATGTAGATATTTTAATTGGTCTTTCTTTTTATCAAATTTATTCAATAAAAAAAATACAAAAAACGAAAAATTAAAAAAAGTGAAAAAGAGGAAAATAAAAAGTAAAAAATGAAAAAAAAAGTTAAGAGCTTGCATAAGGTGTCAATGTGACACCTCATATTGAGCTTAAACTATTAATTTTTTAAATTAAAGTAAAAAATAATTTTATTAATATGATATATGTATGTATAAAATTAAATAAATAATAAAATATATATTTTTATATATACCTCAAAAGGGATTAAGACAAAATCCCCTAAATATGCTTATGTCTAGATCTCATTTTTTTTTTTTAAAAAATCAATGTCTTAAGTCAATTTCTATTTAAAAAAAAGTCATTTATCATATCAAAATGGATAAAAACCCGTTAGATGTAGTTTTTTTTTTTTTTTTACATCTCTATCAATTGATATATTTCATTATAAAATTTATCTAATTAAAAAATATTATAGACACTTTATTTTATCTGAAAAAAATTGTTGAAATTGAAATATGCTTGGGTTGCGAATTGGGTTTTAATAAAATTCTTCAAACCCAAGGCCCGAAAATCTTATTTTAATTTTGATTTGAGTCTAATTTTGATTTTAATTTTATTTTAGGTTTTTTTGTTTAATTTATGGTTAAAAGAAAAAAATTAGGAAAAAAAAATGTAAAGAATTTTTTAGGTCTTGATTCAATTGAATGTTAAGATTTTTTGATTGATCAATTATGAGAAACTTGAGGCTTAATTCACATAAAAAAAATCATACAGAATCTGTGAAATCTTAAATTCAATAGAATTTAAAATTTTCAAGTTTGAAGGGATTTAATCCCTTTGTAAAAGAGATCCACAATCTGTAAAAAATGGGGCAAGCAATGAGAGAAAATGAATACAAAAGCCAGAGGGCAATCAAATTTTGTGGGTTTATTTTATGGCAATCGTGCTTAGGTTTCTAGACTTTAGGTGATTTCTTATTTGATATTTTTAATTGTAGTTTGATAGTGGCTTTTGGAAATTCAATTCTAGGTAATTTTGGATTTCTAAGTTTTTTGGTTTCTGGACTTTAGGTTCAAATTTCTGAGTTTGAATTGTTTATTTTGGAAAATTTTAGGTTTTTGGGTTTAGGCTTGAAGTTTCCCGTGAAATTTGATGTTTTCAATGAGATATACGATGGTCGGAAGGAAAACATAGTAGTCGATTTCTGGACTTCTAGATAGCTTTTGGAAAAATTTAGGTTTGATTGAATTTACCAATGATTGGTTGAATTTCTTGGCATCGGATTTTAGGATTAGTGGCCAGTTTTTTGGAAATTCTTAAGTTTTATGTTAGAAGTTAGAAAGAGGTCAGAGGAATTGGGATCTAAAGAGAGACTGAGTCAGGTGAATTTGAGGAAAGTTTTATTTTCCTACCTTTTGTATGAGCACAAAATGGTGTCGTGTTGAGTACAACTAACTTGCGTCTTAACCCGAGTGGACCCATGCGCTAACTCAGCTTTGACTTGATCTAGATTGTAAGTTTTGCTTTTTCTTTTTTTTATTATTTTTTGTTTTGATTTTTATTTAATTTTTATTTTCGATTTAATTTGATTTAATTTTTTTGTTTAATTTGATTTGATTTTTCTGTTTGGTTTTATTTTTTTTGTTAATTTTGTTATTTTGAATATTATTTGAATCAATGTAATGCTGAGAAGAAAAAGGAAAATGTTTTGATTTTTACATTTATTTTGCATGACATTTTATTTGTATGTCTATTATATTTGCGTGTTATTATGATTAGTATTATATATCATTTGTTTGATTTTTAATTTAATTAAATGTTTGCATGATTTTAATATATTTAATTGCATGTTTATTTGTGTGATTTGTTATTATTTGCATGGTATTTTATATTTAATTGCATAATTACTAAAATATTTGCATATTTCTATATTTATTGTATGCATAATTACGTGATTATATTTAACTACATATTATATTTGTGTGATTATATTTGATTTCATGATTATATATTTGCATGGTATTATTGCATTGCATTTTATATTATTGCATGATTATATACATATATATATCTGAATGAATGATTTTTATGGCATGATATTATTACATGATATATGGTATGATTTTTAATATTTATTATATGATTGCATGATCGCTTGATATTTTAATAGATTTTTTTGTATCACCATGTTATGATTTCGATTATATGATAAAGACTATTTTTGATAAGGTTTAGGTAAGATAATACCTAATTAATGTGGTACCAATTTTGGGCATAAATGGGTGCTAACACTTCTACATGTAACCGACTTTCAAACCTTAGTTTTGATGATATAGATCATAACCTATTCTTTTTATGGATCCTTAGTTTACACTTAGTACAACCTTAGAAAGGATGGATTCATATAGGTGGACAATCACACCTATATAAAAAGATTGGTGGCGAATTCATAATTTTTATGTCTAATATGTAGGTTCTCCCAACTTAGACGTTATGGCAATTTGACGATCCATTAGAGATATTAGAGAGTCAAGCCATTAGTTAGTTATGTGCTATCTTAAGTCTTGCTTTGATGATTTTATTATGTAATTATTAGTGATTTTCATATTGCTTACCTATTTGTTTTTGTTTTCTTGTTTTGCATATTTTAATTTTTTATGTACATTAATGTATTTGATTATTAGACATGTCCCTTTACACACACCACACTTGCATTCATGTATAAACTTTATATCCAGGCTTTATCCTTTATTAGGAGGGAGTAAGTACCTATATTCTCATAAGATGATTACCTCCGTATGAGCTAGCGAAAACTCTTACTCAGATTGAACGTTTTTTCGTTTAAGCCTATAATGGTGGGTAATGATTGATGTGTCCTACTAGCCTATAATAGAAGATGATGTAGGGAATAATTTGAGAGTTTTTAAATTGTCAAGCCTTTGAACTCAGCATGTACATGAATCTTAAAGATCTAAACCTAGGTTAGAGCCTTCCCTTTCATTTTATTAAAAAAAACCTAAATAGAACATATGATGAGATAGTTATTGTTCTTGTAAATTTATTATTCCCTGTATATACTTTTGCATACTAACCTTTTATATTGTTTCTAGTATATATTATGTTATTCTTTGTATATATTATATTATGTTAATTAATTTTTTTTCTCTACTTTTTTGCATGCATGCATCATTAGATTCACATAAAGAGTGATTATCACAAAATAATCTTAACAAAAAGAATCTTAATTACATTTATGGAGAGCTTATCAAAGTTTCTTTTGTGCTTGAGAATGAAATTTGAGAAAGCTCAGCTTAAAGAAGGTGATTGTTTACAAGCCAATTATGTAATTGCTTTGCTTGGCAAAATCTGTCTTAATCTCAAATGAAATGATCT